TAATAATAATAATAATAATAATAATAATAATAATAATAATAATAATATCTATTATATACACTTACTATATCACAGTACATCAAATTCCAAAAGGGGGCGCGGGCCAGCTGAAAAGGACACCCGGCCTTTGCTGCAGGCCGAACCCTAGGCGAGCCAACCACCTCTAGTATCCTCACATACGATCATTACTTCTTAAAATGGCAGACGATAATTCCTCTAAAGTTCCTTCCTTGAAGGCCAAATCTAAGTCTTACCATTTGTGCAGACAGGCTAAGGAAACTTCCAAGGTCTCTCAAGTCTACGGCCATACTACCCTGGACCGCCTGGGAATACCGGGTGCTGTAGCGGAGACGCCTTCAGGTGTCATAAGGCATCGGAGAAGGAATTTGACAGGCTATCCAGGGAGTCTCTCTCGGTGCCTCCAGCCCTTCCACCCTCCACTCCTTCTACCTCTACTCACCCCCCCTCCTCCAGATTTCTCTTCCCTCTCCAGGCACAGCTCACCCATGAAGCCACATTTACTCCTACGGCCGCTGGTCTGCGCCAAGAGGAGCCTACCACAGTCGAGATTACAGAACAAATCAGGTCATGGATGGAGCTGGCTACCCGCCAGGGGATTGCGGAAGGTCTCCAACAGATGTCCAGACCCGGCTTCTTCCCGATGGCTCCCGAACAGAATCTCTATCGGTCAGGTCCCTGCCTAGATCGGATCCTACCCACGGTCAGGTACCTTCACAGAGGGACAACCCTCTTCCAAAGGGAACAGGAGGAAGAGGAAGGGGGCCTGGATCAATTCAGGGAGGAGGAAGAATTCAAATTGGGGTCAACACATTACAGTGAACCCCTATCGGAGACAGAGCCCGTGGAGGGGGAGATGTCCGAGGATGAGGGCCTCACCCCCGACCAACCCACCTTTGAGAGCTTGTTCAAGCCGCACCTATATAAATTGCTTCTCTTTAAGGCCAAAACATCTCCGGCCTGTACACATAGTCTCCCTCTGTCCTCCCTTCCTCGGCGGAGGGCCCAGAGGATTCCATTTTCAAGCAGCCTGTGGTGGAAGCTGATGTCATTCCAGCTCCACCCATTTTCTCTGATCTGGTATCAAAACAGCCGGCTTCCACAGGGGCCCTCCCCGCCCCACCCAGCCAGGACAAGAGGTTTTTCAACCTCGACTCAAGACTTCTCCAACCTACTTAATTCCCTCGAGGTTGACAAGCCCATTGTTGGCTTAGCATCCTCCTCCTCCCCTAGTGATCCTCTGGAGGCTCTGAAACCCGGGGACAAGAGGGCCGAACTAGCCTTACGCCGGGCTCACCAAGCTGACACTTGGGCCATTAGATCGGCCACGGCCGCCTCCTTTTTCACCAGGTCTTTGATCCGGTGGCTTCGCCAACTAAAACAGCATGTCCCCTCCTCTAATACAAGGGCGCATCAGGACATCGCTGAACTCACGGCCGCGGAAGAATTCTCAGCCGACGCCACTAGAACCATAACCTCTCATGTTACAGAGTCAAATTGGCCACGGCTCCCATCAAGGGAGACAAACTATTCGGCACAGCCCTGGAACCTCCGCTAGTCAAGAGCCGATGCAAGAAAAAATTCCTTCCCTCCCCTTTTCAGAGGTCAGAGCCCAGAGCCCCTCAGCCATTTCGGAGAGGGCCCTTTAGACCTTCCTTCCAGTCTCTCTTCCCGCCCAGGTATCCGAGACCCCACTCCTTTCGGCCATGCCAACCCCAGGCTCGAGCCGACTCGGGCGACAGGAACACAAGGGGCAGCAGCTACAAGAGACCCTTCAGGGGATCAGGTGGGAGGCCCTTCCGGCGCCCAAAATAGATCCCGTTCCTCCCGCCCCATTGGCGGACGCCTCAGACATTTCGCCGACCGATGGGATTCCTCTACTTCTGATGCCCGGGTCCGAGTCACTATCCCGTTTGGACTCACCCTGGAATTTCAGCGCCCCCCCCCCCCCGACTTTTTCATGGCATCCCCCCCCTCGAAGGATCCCACCAAACGCAATTGATGGATTCCGCTATCCAACATCTCTTCAACATACAAGCCATCCAAACCCACCCTCTCAACGAGGGCGGGGTTTCTACTCCCACCTGTTCGTGGTCCCCGAACACTCAGGTGGCTGGAGAGGAATCTTAGACCTAAAAAACGACTTGATCGTCACCTGATCCACCGCAGGGTTAAGATGCACACCTTCCAGCCCATTCTACTGGGTACCAGGCAAGGGGACTGGCTCTCTTCTATAGATCTTTCAGAAGCGTATTTACACATCCCAATCCGGCCCTCCCATTCCAAATTCCTCAGATTCTGCTTCAATCACCTCCACTTCCAATATGTGGTCCTCCCCTTTGGGTTGGCATCGGCCCCTAGAACCTTTACTAAGGTCCTCGCGGCACTAGCGGCTCACCTTAGGAACCTTCCCGTACGCCTCCACTGTTACTTGGATGACATCCTCATCCTGTCCCCCTCCAGTCGCCAAGCAGAGAGGGACACCACAGCTACTCTCTCTGCCCTCCAGGACCAAGGGTTCCTCGTAAACTGGCAAAAGAGCCAACTGTCCCCATCTCCCGGATAACCCATTTGGAGTCCGTAATTTATACGGTTAACGGAAAGGTCTTTCTTTCCTCGGAAGACTCCTTAGCATCCAGGAATCCGTCAAACATATCCGGCGATCAAAAAAGGTAACTCTATTAGAATTGTCTAAATT